TAATCTAAGGCCAAACACAGCTTCCTCTGTATATCCGCCACACAGCAGTGTGCACACAATGACTGTGTATACCCATACAGGTTGTTTTCCCCTACCCTAATGCACTATTGTTTTAGTGGCTAAAGACATAAATTAGTTTTTTCAATTCTAAAACAAAGAGGAAATTAAATAAATGTAAGTCACATTTTGTGATCCTGCTTCTTTGCACTCCATTTTTACTATAAATTACCTATCTCCCATAATTCACACCTTGCTTGTTGTCAACAGCTCTAAACAATGTCTTCTACACATGTCCATGGTCTGTATAAGCCACAGTTCCACCCTGCTCCATCATTAGCTGTGGATGTCACTGCTGATGTTGCTATGCTGACGTAACTATTGAGGTTTTTGTCTGTGTCACTCTTGTTGTTGTTTAGTCTACTGGAACGGGAAAGACGCTTCTTGTTTTTCTGGAAGTGATCTCTCAAGCTCGTTTTGCAAAATTGGAGAGATTCCTTCTATTACATAAACTGTAACCAGTGCAGCAATCAGATTCTGTTTGCCTGTTGGAATCAGACATTTCTAGACTTGCCCTGGACTGCAAGTGGACAGTTGTAGCCAGGATGAATGCCGTCCAGAATCCTGGAATGCTCATAAATATGAAACTGAAAGGAATCACAGTTAAAGTCATGAAAGTTGGGTTTGTCTGAAATAATAAATAGTATTTCTGTAAAATAAACCTGCTCAAAGTTATTCCTCAGAAGAAAGTTTCTACAGCTCGAAACGTTTAATTGGAAACACTTCAGCAGAAACAAACATGTGATCAGTCACATTTCCAGAAACCATTATATTAGTGCTACTTTTAACCTTTATTATTATAAAGTAAAACTATCTATCTTCAGTTTGCACTAACAGCAGCATTAAAACCTAATTCTGTGACTTGACAGTTGGTTATGTTTTGCTGTTGTTAACATGAAAAATGTAAAACTCTGGTTTAACTCTTGGGCAGTCATCTCTTTTGTAGATTAAAGTTAATACTTTGAAAAACAGCTTGTATATTTAAGAAGAGGCTGCTGTCTTATGGTACTAAAGTTACATTTTATTTTAATGCAAGTCTACATTTTCAAATAAATCAAACAAAAGTAAATTATCCTAAATATTTAAGTTTGATTTCCAAATAGGTATAACCATAAAGCATAACATGTCTTCCTTTCCACATAACTGTTGTAATAATCAGTTTATTGATCTTCTAAAAGTTTATTTAATTAAATGATTCAAAGATAGTATTGGACAAATACAGCTGGAAAAAATGCTTGTACAATGTCTGAATAAAAATCAAAATAAATCCAAACCAGTTTAAAGGGCTATTTGTAGTCAATTTTGTCATTTTACAAAAACGTTTGCAGAAAAGTGTGGCTTAACGGCTTGTTCTCACTATAGTCAGGTAAATAAGGTGTGCTTGTACGTAGATACAGGTTTACATGGAGTGGTTTGCTTTGGAAGCTTGTTTGGAACATGTCGTGCTTGCTGCACTATATAAAAATCTAGCATAAAGACCAGACAACAGGTTTTTTTTTTACCATAAAGTCGCCGCTTCAGGAGATTATTTGTTTTATTTTTCTGCCTGTCTATGTGAAAAGACTAAGTTGAACATAATATAAATAAAAGTGCTTTATCTTAGAGTTTTTAAATATATAAAAGCTGTAAGGTACTATTTGTTTATCTTTAGTAGATTTAGCACTCAGCAGTCAGAGGAGCACAGGAGGATGTTTGCTTACATTAACAACAATAGACCAAGAGAAAAACTCTAAAAGACATATTAAAGTTAATTTCCTTCATGCTCAATATCACCTTTGTATTTGATTTTATGCAAGTTAATATTTACGTATAATGACAAATAGACTAAGAACTTCATAAACTATAGTGCTCTGTTTTTTTGTTGTTTTTTTAAGGATCTTATACCTTGTAAAGTTAGAGCCGTCTGTATTCTATAATATGAGACTGGGAAAGGATTTTTCAACCATACCAAATTCTTAGAAGGGGAATTGTTGAGTGATTCAGATGTCAGACTGCTAGAGAAACTGTGAGCGATGGTGCCACTTAGAATCTGTGAAGATAAAGAAGGAGTGTGTGTTTTTTGCAGATGATCCATCTCAGCATTGACAGTTTCACAGAGGGAGGGGGAAACCATACAGGAATGACCCCTCCACCCACAGACTCCCGCCATTAGTCACAGTCTCCCTCGCTTTCCGGATGTATTTTTCTAATATTCACACCTCGCTTGTCACCATAGAATCACTTAACCTCCTATATAACCTGCAAATTTGAAGAAGCTGTCAGACTATCTGAGCGAAAGTTGGAACTTGATTTCACACTTATATGCAAATACACTCACACATATCCTAAGTAATGAGCCTTGAATTATTACTCTTACTCTATAGTGGCTTGAAGTTGTTCTCTATTCAGTGGACAAGTATGAATGAATAGGGAATTATTATTATTTTGGATCACACGAGGGAACGAAATATCTATTTATGGAATTTAAAATACTTTTGGAAAACACAGTTATTGAGAATGCTGATAATCTTTTCCATGGGAAAGATTTACAGAACATATTCCCAAATTGTTAGCTCTTTCTCTGGGTGAAAGAACTCAGTTTAAGGAAGCTTGCCTTCATTAACAGATCCAACTGCGTTGTTCTAGCTTGTGGTCAGTGTTGGGAGCACCCAGAGGTCATCAGATAGTGGTTTCTGCTGTAGCCTTATGTCATCAACAGGTCATGCTTGGTTGAACTGAGGTTTTTCAGAGATCCCTGTGCATGTTTGCTAAGCCTGTGGTACTCATTATGGAAGGTCTGTATGTGAGTGTCCTTCAGTAAAGAGGGGGTTGCAGGTGAACAGTTTGGATTCAGAGTAGAGTCTGAGGTCCTTCGTGGGTCAACGGCTCATCTGACCATTTAAGAGAGGGGTCATGATTTTTAGGCTCTTTTCTGTTTGTGTGAGAGAATTAAAGGGAGGTTGTTGTAGGACCCCTCGCTGCTGTGACCAATCCTAATCATTAAGGGGTTAAAACAAATAGTCATCAGATTTGCTTTGTTGTAAAAGGTTTGGTTGTCTTGCATGTGTCATCCCAATTGGACACTTTATCTGTCCTAATTATGTTGCTTTTCTGGAAGTTAAATAAACCTCCCAAAGTTAGCCACAATGTAGCCTTTTATCAGTGCATTAAAAGTATTTTCTGTACTCCTCTTGCCATAATGGTTTATTATTTATGTTTATATGTAGAAGAAATTATATAATAAAACATGTTTGAAAGAATTAATTAATCAGCCCCACTGGTTTTATCTTGTGCAAGAGACTCTTCAGTTAGCACTAATAAAACAGCAGTGTGTTTATTCCCAGGGGAATGAATAAAAGGTTCTTTTTATTCCACATGCAGCTTATCCATGCTAGACAAACAACGAAAGCTATGCAACGTTCCTGATATCTGAAAGTCCTGCTCTCTCTCGCTCTCCTGAAGTGGAAATGAATCATGGGTATGTAGAAACATGTCATAGCAAAATACAGCTTGTCTTACTAGCTTGATCTGTCTCCTGCACTTCAATGTTACTTTTAGTTGTTGGTTTTTTCGCTGAAGAAGATGAAAAATTAGCAGTTTTGGTCAAAAACTGATTTCTCAGTGAATCTTCGTCTGCAGATCTCTACAGTATAACAATATTTTGGCTTTGTCGTCTACCTCTCTGATATTTAAACATTATTAAACATGCTGCTGCAGCTTTTTCAGTCAGTTTTTCAATGCTTAACACACTTAAATGAAGTTGTGTGACAGTGTGAATTCCTGCCAATGTGAACTAGAAGCCTTGTAGCAATTGTTGAAACACCTGTTTATTAGCAGCTGCAACCAGAGCTTGAATTTGACTCCAAGTGTATTTCTGTACAGACTGCATTTCTTGTTCACAAATTTCTGTTTTCATTAGCAGTCTATATGTATCCATTAAAATACTGAATAAATGATTGGGTTTGAAGTTTCTTTTTTCAAATGACCAGGAGCTCTTTTTACAATATCAGTGCAGCTTTAATTACATATTTGGCTGCTTCATTATTATTATCTTTTGTTTTTGGTTTTTTTTTTTAATTGTATTTAAAGTAATTCCAATATTTTTTTATTTCTTTAACTATGTAAAAGCAAACTTTTATCTGAAATCTACTCTTTAAGAATCGCCCCACTTGCAAAATGTTTTCTTGCAAAAAAGTGCCAACCTACTTATTCTCAGGTTAAAAAACCAACAGTTTTTTAAACACAGTAATTAGATTAATATTAAGTTTAATTGATTAACATACTTTTGGAAAAAATTACTCTTTAAACTTTGATATCACTTGTTTTTTTTTTAAGTTTAGTTAATATGAACATAGAGGGGTTTAGCATCAGAGCACTTTATTATTACTGAAAAAGGTATATGGAGTAAAATAACAACATTAGTCCAGTTCAATCCCGTTTTGGAGCTACATATTTCTTTACTATAATAATATTAAGCAAAATAATAATCTGTGTTTGGCATTCTTACTCTTTAGGAATGCTTTGTAATCAGTCTGCTCTCCTTTTTCTCTAATCCGCAATACAAAAAGCAGTCTTATTTCTCTGAGTGAATGGGAAGCTTTTGTCCAAGCCACCTATTGATAACCCATAACCCCCTTTCCTTCTTGTGAAGGGTGGATCAGTGTGCAATCTATCCAGTTGTGCACCAACAGCAACAGTTCAGCGGACTATAAAAAAGATGCACATAAGAACTTTTTCTTGGTGTGGAAACTTTTAAGTACTATCCAAAAAGTTCAGTTTGGGTCTAGACTGTTTTGAATAAAAGAGCTAAAGACCATAAACGATAAGAGAGTTTAAATAAAGACTAAAGGCACTTAATGCAGGATTCCCGTATCCTTGTAATTTGCTGCAGAGGAGAGGAGGAGTCAGGGGGAGGGGAATACCCAGCAGGGAGGGGAGCATGAGAGAGCAGAGGCCATTCACTTTGACACACACAAACACACACTCCAATGCAAACACATGAACACTTCCAGGCACACACATGCAGGCTGTGGATGCAGGAGAGTGGGGGGGAGAGAAGCTTTCAGAGACAGAAGCAGAAAGAGGAGATCCTTGGCAAGCTGAAGAGAGTTAAAGAAAAGAGCTGGAAGACTGAGTTGAGGAGGAAACCCAGCCTTGGTGTGTGAGCTCTTGTGTACCTTATTTAGGACTGGAGCGCACACCAACTTCAAGGAAGAAAAAAAGAATTACAATGCCTCTGAGAATTTGGAGAATTTAAGGGTTTTTTTTTTCTTTTTCTGGAGCTGTTATGAAGACTTTTTGGAAAACTCTGGATATGTGACCTAAGGAAGTCCAGGATCCCTCTAAACTTCCCTGTCATCACTTTTGAAAAGCTTTTTGCTTTCATTTCTGCTGAAGGGAAAGGCCACAAAATGCCTACTGGTAAGAAGGGACATTATCAAACTATTATTTTATTCCTAAATATGCACTGACAAGTTTCTTATGTGATGATACTGGATTTCTGTCTCTGAGGATATTAAACATGCCAATATTTGTAAATTCTAATATTATTTAAGCTTATGCAGTCAATTTTATAACTGCAGTATTCATTCCCAATCACACTATTTCTGTGTGGTCCTCAGTTTATTAATAAGATTTATTGGTATCTGAAAAATCTTTTAATAAATATGTGTTGCTTCTCTCTCACTGCATGTTAAGGGGCCATTCTGCAGCCTGTGACCCAATTTAGAGCTTCAAAGGGCAGCAGCTGTCTGCAGGCTGCAAATGGGTATGAAACAATAAAGGAGAGGAGGGGGAATAATTACTTTTTAGCACAAACTCTTTGGAATTGAGGTGCTGGAGACAATGGAGTACTCCATTCTTCTCCACCCACCCTGCATGTCCACTGGGAGGGGAGGGGGTGCCCATTCTGAGCACATAAGTACACATGGTTGGATGGTTATGATCAAATCCTGGAAAAGTTTTGCTAGTTTAGTTTTTCCACCCAAACCAAAGAGGCCACCCTACAGCCCCAGCTGTAGGACTTTTTTTTTCAATCATGTCAGAAATTGAGTCTAGTAAGTTGCTGTCACAGAGAAGGCTGAAGGGTGTGAACTGCAAGTGTTGCATGGGTGTCCTGTGGGTAAGTTGAAGACTGGAGGTGTCTGAAAATAGGGACAGTGGATGCTTTTCCCTCAGCAACATTGAGCTATGACTACACTGCACATTCCTGAGGGCTGTCTCCACAATGTCAAAAACAAAGAAACTGGACACTTTATCTTTAGGGTAGCTTAATATGTTATATGTGTTGCGGTTGTTTTGAGTGTTTTTACTGTATTATGTTAAAATGGGGTTAATTACTCCTTTGGCTGTGCACATGTGTTTACATACTGTAGATTTTACGAGGCCATGAAAGCCAAAAAGAGTTGAGTGAGGCGAAGTTTTGTTAAAAGGCTGATATCAGCTAATATCTTACCTAAAGTTGCTAAATATGATGATGTCTTTATTTATTCAAGTTCAGAAGAGAAAGCTGAAACCAACAGATTCTCTAAGGGGGACCAACAACCCCAGTCTCAGACAAATCCAACTGGTTTATGTTATAAATGCTATGAACAATCAAACCCTACATTTGCATTGAAAAATGAATTATGAATAAGCTGCTAAGTTACACAGAAGATTTATTTAGGTGGCAATCCCCCCTAGATATAAACTTTAAACAGAAACCTGCTTAAAAGTCCTAAACTATCTCTTTAAATTGTGCAAATATAAACTGTAAATATCTTATGGTTATGATTAGGGCTGAAAGTAATGAGTATTTTGCTAATTGATTAATGTGCAATTTTTTTCGATTAATTATTGGACGGCAAAAGGTTCATGAAAGGAAGATTTTACGCTGAATTAAAACCAAGTGAAGCTAAAGCTGTGCCCTTTGAAGACCTCTACTTAGAGCATATTATTGGACATAAGAGGATTGTTCATCTTAAAAGCAAAATGTTTTATTACTGAATTAGTCTATGATCAATATATAATCAAGATTGTTTCAGTAAAATTTTTCAGCCCTAGTTATGATGACTATTTATACTTTTGTACGGGAAAATGTTGTTGTTAATTGATGCCCCAGCTGCATCCTGTGTGTTTACCTTGTTTTTTCTTAGGCCATAAAAGCCTAAAAGTACAAAGGTCAAAGATCAGGATTCCTGCAAAAGTATTCGCCAAGAATATTATTCAAAGAGGAGTTGTATTCTCTTCTACCTTCTCTTGTTTTGCTCTAGCAATTAATGTCGAAGAATTACATTTGAGTATATTACCCTAATCTGTGCTGTTCTTATAGGTTTGGCATCAGGTTCAGTGGAAAACATGCTCCCAGTCTCCAATCCTATGTTTCACCCTTTTCCATGTCTCCAAACTCTCTGGCTTCTCTATCTGTCTCCTTTTGCTCTCCACATTAAAAGGTTGCAGTGTGAAATCCAGAGCGACATTTTAGGGTCTTTAGCGTCAGTTGCGATCTAGGCTGTATCTCTATCAGAGATAAGGACAGAGCTCAAATGGACCCTGTGTAACCTGGGAACATGTGGCTGCACAATAATTTAGTTGTTTAGTCTTGATTTTCTGAAGCATAGACTATTATAAAGGTAGTGATTGTCTGGGTAGATTGAGTTAAAGCAAAAGGCAGAATTTGTAATAAATATCAGTGAGGGAACGGAAGAAAGGAAAAATTATGGGAGTGGGTGGTGTTTGACCTCTGGCCTTCTTTCTCATCTTTTCTTCCTACTTTCATTCCTCTGGGACATCTACCCCTCATCCCTCACTCTTCCTCACAGTTACTCATGTCCCAGAGGTTAAAGACACTGCCAAAGTGAAAACAAAGGCTGCTGCACTGCAACTGGTGTTAGTTATCCATTCAGAGTTCTTGAGTTTCTACTTAGAAGCATTCAGGACCGTTAAAGATTGAGTTGCCATCTGGAAGAGACAGTATAATAAACAAGAACCCACAAGCAACTCTGACTAAACTACTTGTAAGTTGTGTAAAGTGTAGTCTTGGTGCTGCACACTGTTGTTGAAACATGTCCTTTTTCTGCAAAAACTGTCTGTTTTCAGTTGAAATTTTAAAGAGTTTTTGTATTTATTGAGGTGCTTTTTTAAATGTAATTTGAAGAGCAGCAGTTTTGAAACTTCTTATAATGGAAACCTCACTATGAATCCCAACCGTCGCTGGAAAAAAGACAAACCTGTTGCAAGCCAGCCTTACTAGTTTTAATTAATATTTGCTATTTTCATGAGCCTTCATTGTGGGAGAGTTTTATTTTGTTGTTTCTATTGAGCCTAAGAGATAAAACACTGCCCAAAATATACACTTGAGCCATGGTGGTCAGTACCACATGATGTACAGGTTGGGCGATGGTTATTTTCTTGAACAGAAAAGAATAGACATGGTGTGACTGTAAGGAATGTCTGGTGGAAGCCGAATTGTTAAGAAATGCCAGATGTGTTTTCAGTTTCATCACAAAATCTGATGATGGAGAAAAACAATGACAGGAAGGGAAAAAGAAAATGTTCGGAAGTCAGTTTATGACTGGCTATGAGCGGGATATATAAAAGTGGGTAAGAGTGAAATGTTTATAGAATATTTTTTATTACCTGATAGAAATAGCTGGAAAGAAAGTCATTCAACTTGTTGGTATTTTCATTAAAAAAAATCTATTGGTTCTGGATATTATTTGGGCAGCTTTGAGTGTTGGTGTTTGCAAAACCCTTATTAGATATACTAGATATATATATCTTATGTTTCTGCAGTGTTTTCTACAGAGTAGCTTGAAATGTAAAAAAAAAAGCAACCCATCAAACAGTACTGGCTTAAATGTTTCTACAAGGCATCCATTGTTCCCTCTGTGTTTGTCTCTGAACATTTTCATTCAAGGCATTGTTATATAGCTCCAATATAGTTTGACTATGAAACACTACAGCTTTTCATGACTGTTCCAAAAGCCCCTGGAAATATCCATTTCAATTTAAAGTGTTCATACAACAAAAGTTTGATCTGCGATTCGGCATGCATATAAGGTCATTAAGTTTTTTAATTATGCAAGGAGATAAATTTGCCATCTAGGCTTCAATTCCTGAAATGCAGTCCTAAAATTGTATGAAATAGTGCACAGAAGTTCCAAAGGAGAAATATTACGGTGCATTGTATCCCCCAAGAAAAAGGGGTTCAAATTTAGCATTTACCAAAGGATGTTCTTTGTTAACTTGTTTTTTAAATCGAACAAAAGGTTGTAACTTTTATTATTCTTTTATGATTTAAATGCACACAAAGTAGTTTCTAAAAACGACTTTTATTTCTAACAAATATGTTTTTTTCTCCCTGTACTCTGAAGCCTGATATTTTGAGATCGAGTTGAAACTTTTCAAGCAAGCCAGAGTTTTATACGTGATGTGTCTGTGTGTACATAAAATAGGCATTTTTAAGCTAGACCCTATTAATGTGTTCTATTTTGAGCAGTGGCTAATTGATTGATCTTGTTGGTACATAAATAATTCTAATCAATCCTAAAGGTAAAGACCAAAGTGTTGATGAGCAAGATTGTGCAGTAGTTTCTGTAAAGCGCTTCACATCTGGTGCTTAAATGTCTCATGTTAATGATTTGCATATATTTGCATTTGTCATGCAAATTCAGCAGAGACCTATATGTAAGCAGGTCTGGTCCATGGGACTTTATTTGTCTGGCTCTGTAATGTATTTATCTAACTCTAAAATGTTTCCTGCTCTTTCATTTCAGTCTCTTGAAGTAGCCAAAGCAAGTAGGTATTTGCTCAAGTGGCTGCCATTACAGGATGAAGTTCTCTTCTTTGATATTCCTTGGACTGTGTTTTCCTGCAGAGAGATACACCCTGGGAATCACATGTTTGATGTTTCTTGCTGGAGCCCCTTGCTACATATTGTCTGTGTATTCTCCTGTTAGGACCCCGTGATTAAGGGAGACACTTGACTTTAAATAAGCATAGAAAATGGTTTTGCTCAGTGATGTTTATGTATAAAGTATATAAAGTAATTTTTCACAGTTTTTATAACTAAAAGACATGTCTATTTCAAAGTGCTCTTAGAGGTTTTTGAGCTGCTTGTGAGGCCCCGGGGCCGTAAAGAGGGAGCATTGCTCTCCGCTGTTTGCTGACCACTTTACAACAAAGACCACTTCAGGTGGCTGTAAAGAGTACGACTGAAGTGAACCGTCGAAATTTAGCATGAGTCATTAAACCTGGCTGGACTGGTAGCGAGGCTTGTCCGACTGGCTAGCACCAGCAGAGGGAAATCACTGCGCTTCTGTTTGAGTAGTTATGATTCAGTACACTGAGAGTCTGTTACACTGGCAGGCTTGTGAATGTTCCGTTTATGCAAGTCTTGTTTAGGATTAGTTTTAATGATTTTAAAAGTGACAGAATAAGTA